AACAATGAATGAATATATTTCATGTCAATGGAAACTTCGTTGTCCATTTCAGATTGTAAGGTGTGACGGCGATGAATGAATCTTTAAACTTTCTTTGTTAGATAGCTAATTATGTAACACTTTACAAACAATGAACAAAAATTTGTATAGAAATGCATTATGTAAATTCAATGTTCTCATCGCAGTCATCACTCATCAAGTCATCACCACAGCGGAGCCGAACATGATGATTGTTCAAATAACCGGAGTAGGTACATACCACGGTGGTATAGAAATCAATGCTGCATGCGAGGCTGCATGTCTGTATAAAACCTCAATAACTTGTTTTTATAAATTTTGGTTACATCAATAATATATACGTTTTCTACTCCGAACGGACGGGTATTTCTGATTCATAAATATATTTACATAAATGTAGGTCAAAAGGGGAAACACAATATAAAGGAACATATCATTTAGTGCAACGTACCCCAGATACAAAAAAATAAACATTTTCTCATTGCCACGTTTTGAACTCTACAAGATAGCGTTGAGAGATTTTCAATACAACCCGAGATACAACCTTTCGTTTCGGAGAAATCATCATTTATTTTTTTATATGGCCCGTAGAAAAAGTACACCCAGTATTGAGTAGCAATTTTTATTACGAATACAACACAAAAAAAAACAAAAGCTAGAACCTGCTGGTTTGAACAGGATGGTGCATCCGCACACACCGCCATATTAGTGCAAGAATACCTATCGGAGAAATTTTCCAGGAAATCGGTAGTGGCAATGAAAAAATTGTTTTTTTTTAATATTTTTTTTTGTAATATGCGAAAGTATAAAGTATCCTTTCAAATAACAAAAGAAAAAAATAAGATTTTTATATTATGTTCGGAAGTAATCGAAATTTTCAGTTTTCTTCGAAGCTTGATTATAACCCTTTAATTGTGCATCTTTTCTCTAATTTGATCATCGTCGTATCTTCTATTGTTTCGGAGTTCCTCATGATAACCATTCTTATCTTGAACACAGTGCATAAAAGACCATAAAAATAGTCCATAGTAACAAACATAGATAAAATTATCTCAGAAGAAAGATATACTTCCCTACTGGAACTGAAAGGTATATTCATAAACCGGTCTCATATATGATATTGGTTCAAAACTATTTCTTATTAAGGTTACCAATTCCGGTAATGAACTTTCGTGAACTTTCTAACTAATGACAGAGTAGTATTGAAAGAGTTTTCCGGGCTCAACCAGTTGTCCTTTTTCTCGTCCATTTTCAATATACCTAGTGTCCGCATCGACCCCCCTGTTAAATCATAACAAGCCACTGCTGATCTGAGAGATAGATCCCGAACTAGCATCATCTAACCAATCTTCAGATAGCGCTGTTTTAATCCATCCAGCTAGTATTGTACGTGATGCGGCGCCTCGAGTTGAAATAAAAAATATCGATAATCTCGGTACGGCTCTTCTTCTTACCTCTTGACAGCTTTAAATATTTTTTTGATCCAAAAGATTAGATTTACCTCCCCTGTATCATCACTTAATAATTTCAAGCTAGATTTCAAGTCAATTGCGTATTCCGAGGCTTATTCGTTTTTGGGCCGAATTTAGACCGGAAAAAAAGTGGTTGCTCTACTAACGTAAACTAATCTGTGCCCTCGTCACTGCCTATATTTTCGTAGTTAAAAGAGACACAGAAAAATGTTTTACACAAAAGTTTCTTTATAATGATTGTTGAATAATCTGCCGTTTTTACAAGAAGTATACGGGGTCAGGTAAAAAAGTACTTATTGGATTTATTTTTTGAATTAAAAAAAATAGTATATTATTTTTTTCTAAATACAGGTAACACACCATGGATGATATTTAAAAAAAAAGATTCAAATTATTCAAAACAATCCAAATTTAAAAAATATTCAAAAAATATTTTAAAAATCAAGAGAGGTTCAAGCTCGGGTTCAAGTATCTAAAAGATTTTTTACAATTTTATATGCTATTTTTTTTATAATCAAAATAAGAATCCACAAGTACATCCATTTTAAAAAAAACTCGAAAAAAATAAGGTAAGATCCGCCAATTTTTTCATGTTCCATGTTTTTCAATATGGTCATTCCGAAATTGGCATTTTTAAAATTTTCTTTCGTATCTCTTAAGTGAGGAACCATCAGTAAGAACAATGCCAGGAAAGCATATTTCAAAGAAATTTGTAAGATCTGAGACGATTAGATTGTATTCCTCAATTAGTCGCAGTGTGTGTTTTGGGATACTTGGAACAAATATATATTCGGACCTAACATCTTGGCCCGTATGAATAAAAGTAAGCAAATGCTTATACTTGCAAAATTCAAAGTAAATACTCGTAACTGCCCCTTCATACTGGTCTGTTTAGCATGGTTTAGCAGCGCTGCACTGCGTCCTGTCCTTCTGCTTAGAAGCGCTGCTAAGTCGCCCAGTGCGAAGGAGCACTTACGAGTATCTACTTTGAATTTTGCAAGTATAAGCATTTGCTTACTTTTATTCATACGGGCCATTCACTGAACTTCACACACATCCTTGGATATCCACGAACATCCTCGGATATCTGTGTATATCCTGAGAATATCCTTAGATATCCGCAGACATTGTTGGATATCTGTGAAGATCTCGGATATCCTACGTGCATCTGCTACTGTGTAACAATGGATATCTACTGCGATTTTCCCCTCGGTTGCTCCTTACTTTATTAATTATTTGGTAAAATGTAACGTTTCTGATGGTAAAGTGCTTCAACACACCCATTTATTAGCGGCAAAGCAAACTTTATAGGGGAGTCTGTCCATGAACACGATAACACATTACGTAACACGTCTATTGAAAATGGGCCAAATCCAATGACCTCGTAGGGTCACGCCTCTTTGTCTCTAGCAAACGCTTGAACAAATTCGGCTCGAAATTCGGTTCAAACTTCAAACACAGTTGGCACATAGACCATATACAGCTCGTTGCATCGACAGGCGGGACCTCGGGCGGGACATAGGAAATCGCATGTAAATTTGAAGGAGGTTAGGTTATAGCTATTGGCTTCCCGAATTATTTTAAAGGAAATATCTATTTAGGTTATTTAAGAACATTAAAATCCGCATCTAAAAGAATAAGTTTCAATGATTTTGATTAACCCCTTAAGGAGATACTGCCAAAAATATTTTGTAATTTCTTCTTTCTTATCGCCCCTTATTTACAGGGAACAATTGAGGTAACGGTTAACTGTCAAATGAAGTCATACTGAAATTTAATGCTTTATTTCTATTATTAGCCATGAATTACACCACTGAAGAGAAAGAATTCACGATTAAATGGTATTATCAAGTCAATAGTAATCGACCAGTTTGATTTAATTATCAAAAAGATGCGGATTTTAATGCTCTTCAAATATCCTAAATAGATTTTTCCTCTAAAATAATTAGGGAAGTCAATAATTATTAACATCCTTTAAATTTACGTGGGATTTCCTATGTCTCGCCCGGTCCCACCTGGCGATGCAACACGCTGTATAACAAGTCTCGTCACAAGTCTATTGAAAATGGGCCACATCCAATGACCCCTTAGCCATAGAGGGTCACACCGGGGGGCTCTGTCGCTTTTTTAGATCCGCTTTAGGGGTTTATTCTTAGTGAATCTTCATAAAACTGACGGACTACCTATTACCTTCAAAATTTCGAGATTAAACTCGAGATTAAACGAATTATGAGATATAGATATCTTTGTACTTTGGGGTAACCTTGCAAATATAAGTTATTATTATGAGGTAAGTGAAGGGTTGTGCAGGCAAAATTTATTTATTTTAGTGCTATTTTGCCCTATTAGAAAATAAATAAATTTTGCCTGCACTCTTCACTTACCTCGTCACTTACCTGAAATTACTCTAGCGAAATTGGAGACCTTCATAGAAAATTATTATTATTACTCATTGGCTAGCAATTTTAATTATTGTTTAAATTCATGGAACACACGAACCTAGCTCCTTAATAAATTTAATACAATTTAGATTTTAAACAGTTAGATGGAGTAATAAGAACTTCCATGATTTGTAATGCTTGAATAATTTAACATGCTCTTATTTTTAAGTTTGCATGAGCATTCTATTAATCAATTCTTGCAAGATTGAAAAGTAGGAGCGCTTATTAATAAAAAGAGAAATGTTTTACTTCACATCATAAGTAGTGTACCTATTCGATCACGGAAAAAAACGGGCCTACCAACAGGTGCTGATTGAAACTTATCGCAGAACTTTTTTGTTAAAAGGCCATAAATTGCACTCTACAAAAGCAAAACTACACTTGACGACAAAAAGGGGCAAGGATTTGTTGTTTCATTCAGATTTGTCGTTACAAAACCTTAACAAATTCCCACAGCGTTTCTTTTATTATGCACAGGTAGGTAGGCAAATGCGACTTGCAGATGGAAATAGTAACAATCAAGGTCAGGCAATTATTTTGCACTCGTTTGTGCTGACCTTAGTTTATGATACAAAACGTGCATAATATGAGTTGTAGGTAAAACGTGATTTGCGTTCAGAAAAAAAGTTCTCTAATGCTAATTAAGGCGAATAAGAGAGCAGAAATGGACGTTAATGCTTAAACCTGCAGGTGAGATATAATGCCGTTAGTCTATTATTCTATATACAAGGTGTAAGTAAATAAATTACTTACGCGATTATGCAAAATCCTGGAGCTAAGCGGTTGAAAAGGTAAGGTAAATAGATTTTCTAGGCTTCAATGTCGTTTTCATTTAGCGAATTTAGGGAACACGCATTTCGAAGGATAATGAGAGCGTAATTATGTTGAAAGTCGACGAGCTTCTTGCTGTAACTTTGAAATTCGGCTCGAAATTGTGGTTATGATTGTATTGATTACAGATTAGAGACATTGTAGGTTTACATACTGATAAAACCCTTATCAAGCTATACCTAGTTGTGTAAAAATGTACCTATAATAACGGTGAAAATGGGACGAGTAATTAACTTACCGGTATATGGGAGCAACCAAATAATAAACTAGAAAACACTCACAATGTAAGACCAAATAAATTAATAATCCCCACAGCGTCAAGTCGATAATAAAAAAACACGGCACGGAGAGCACACCGTAAAACACCTATTTACTACTACATAGCGTTTGAAAGACTGACTCATACTATCAAGTCTTATTCAACAAATGGACGTAATCAGCGACGGTGACGACATTTCGAGGACGCGCTTTTGACAATATCCACTGATTAAACTCATATTAAGCAGCGTTTGAATGTTTAAAGGAAACTCGGTATTGTTCAACCTGCTTTGCAGCACTAAAGTGGTCCTGGCGCTGCATCCTCTCCTCTCGCTCTCTCTTTGCGCTCCGAAGATATATCCCACTATAAAAGTCAATGCCTTGAAAGTCTTCTGAACTTTGGTAAATGAAATTATATGTATTTGTTGATCGACTTTATCGAATCAACAACTCTATTGTTTCTAAATAAAAGCTATGACAGCATCACAGATTTAAAGCGCCTCCTTTATCTTTGATACTAACGTGATTTTAGTTTATTAATAAATGTGGGAGATAAAATTAACTTTTTTTTAATACTGATATAATTACAACAGTTTATTACTTCCTTAATTAACAGCAGAGGTATGCGATACGAAGGAAATGCCAGGTTTACCTGCCCTCTAAAAATGACCGGATAAGCGGCTTTTGTTCCTACATGTCGTTCTCAATAGCCTGTATGGAGGTCATTGTTCACTCATTCAGGTTTCTTAAATATATTTACGTTGGTGTTGCAAGGTTAGGCAGAGCGAAGTTACCCATTTACTAAAAATGAAAACGCATTGCACATTCTTTCGCAAATTTTTACGTTTTAGCATCTATTATGGACTTGATAATATTAATTAGTCACCACCACAACGTCCACTCGTAACCTCAACCAGTTTCCAATAAGTTATTTATAGACAAAGATGAATCCTACTTCATAAATTTAAAAAATTTGGAGTTAGGTATTTTTTTTTATTAATTTGCAGATTTAACTGGGACTTTATACAAGAACTTATCTCGACATTTTCAAAGCTATCTGGACACCACTTACAGTCCCATTTGCAAATTTGATGTACAAATTCCGATTAGGCAATAAATCAGACCTTTTTACATTTGGGAAGACACTGTAACCATAAATGTGCTTGCTATTCCAGAAACCTGTGACACTTTCGTTTGTGAGGGTGCCGTTCTTGAGTTCTTACCAACATATTGAGGCCACAAGCTTCAAAGACATTGATTTTGTTTGGTATAGATACGTTATACCAAGTATCAAGGGTGAACTAAAAAGAAGAGGGGAGCAGGAACTTCCACACGAGCCTACACATGTACCTGTACCTAAAAATTGGAGACTTTTTGAGAAATTCAAAACAAAAGGGGTGGCGGGCCAAGAAGCGATAACAATAGGTAAGGCAGGTTTATCAGAGACTTTACGCTTTTAAGTGGATATTGTCTATTCCTTCACAAACATGCCATACCTCTTTTTGGCGCATCAACCACCATTTAAAACGCCTATAACGTTTCTTAGTTCACCGCCCACGGTTCGTGAAACCAGATAGGTACCCAAACACCATGTNTGAATGGTCGCCATACTTGTAGCAAATCACACCACAAAAAGTGTCACCATCTCCCGGTCTATGTGTTAAAACGGCAAAGATGTATACTGTATAGCCTCATACCCGTATGTAAAGTAAATAAGCGCCAAGTGCAAACTTTGTAAAATTGATTATCAAAGGAAAAAATATGTTGCAACTTGCAAGCCTCGGCTGTGCTCTTGGTAACTGCTGTTCGGTGACAAGGCCTACTATCAAATACAACACTCGGAAATATGCTTTTAGTTGTTAAAACGACGACTGAGTACCCTCGGAGAGGTGGGGGACACTTATGAGTCTGCCCTTGGTACGATGCAGACTCAGAAGATTATTCTCTCCAACATTCTCTGAAATGCGAGCTGAAATCCATATGAACATCCAAATGGTTTCCACATACACCTTCGTTTGTTATTTGTACAGGAATTTCTTTTACAAAAATGTATATTTTTTGTTATAAAAACCTTTCAACGTAATCGCAATTGAAATGGCCATTTTTGTATGATAAATAACCTAGTAAATCCTCAAATTGGAAACAATGCAGGTACCTATGGAAATAAATTATAGCAGGTCGACAAAAGATGTTATATACAAAGTTAAAGAGGACAAAATTTCCATTATTCCATTATTTTATTATTCCAAAATTTTTCATTAGAGCCCCGAGCTTAACAACATAATAAAAAATCGCTACTACCCCACCTTTTGCATTCAAAAAACCCCCACTTACTGGACTATACAGTTTCAGTGTATTTACTGCATAGAACAATGAAGTGGAACAGTGACCAAATCAAAAAGTTTTTAAATGTGTATTATGAGAATATGAGGTACTTTAGGAACAGGACAAATGCTTTCGAATAAACTTATTAGCAAGAAGTGAACAGAAACAGAAAACCATGCCGTGCACTGTACATTATTAGTCAAGGCAAATTGGACTTACAAAAAGATTAATTGTTAATGGAGCAAGTGGATATGTTTAAAAGTGGTCTATAAACAAATACAAAACAGTACGTGGGCAGGGGACAATGGGACTAGGTTTTTGGGGAGGATGAAAATGGGCGAAAAATCGTATGACCGGCATTTGCCAGCAATGTTTGAGAATCGTGAAAAACTCACATAACCTCAAATAACCGAAAATCGCGGAAACCTTGTTTTTTAATTGTTCATTTCCCCGCAAAAGGATTTTCTTTTACGAGAGGTTTCCGAAATATTCGTTTTTTTCGGCCAAAAAACCTCCAAATAAAAATTGTCCTTCAGAGATTATCGTAGGAGTTCGATTTGGTGTCCATTCTCTTCGTTTATCTATACTTTTTGAAGAAAAAGAATGTTTTTCTGTTTCTGTCATTTCTCTTAAATAGTTCTCGAACAAATTGTTCCCCCTTTTACTTATGCGTATGGTCTCCCTTTTTCTTATGGTCCCAAAAGTACCTCATATTTTTCATAACATTAAAAACGTTATTATTTGAACTTTGGTAACTGTTCTACTTCATTGTTCCGGAAAAATTTTAACTAACTTTCCTACTCTATTACATGCAGAACTACATAAATTTGACAGTCCAGAAAGGCAAGTCGGCCACCAAACTAGCCAGGTCCTCAACTTCACTTGCCGCTTGCGGGCAAGTAGCAAGTGACTGGCAAGTGCACTTTCCGCTCATTTACACTTGGCAAGTTTACTGACCGAAAGTACTTTCCGCCAGTAAACTTGCCAAATGTAAATAAGACTTGAATTTTAATGGGTAGCAACACATTATACACTTTCCAAAATTTTGCAAAGACCAGATGTACCGAAGGAAAGGGATAAGCGCTCAGACTTGTGGGCGTGAAAACTGCACAAAAGGTGCAAAACGTATACGCATCTTGTAACCAAACGCGGTGTGACGTTTCAATTTAAATTTAGAATTGTAATGAGGTTTGGAATTGATCTACCGTAAACAATATTTCCAATTTAAAGTTTAGAGTGGCACGAAGCTTTGGAATCGATTTCAATATAAAATTAGTATAGTAAACACAAAACCACACCTGAATTAATTACTTTTACATAAGCAATAGAAGAAGCCGTCGACAAATTTTTAGCCGTATAATCCACAACGTATCGACAACAAAGTTTAATTCTCCGCAGTTTATGCAAATAGAACTTTAATTGACATCAATTATCGCAACGAGATGTAAACAAGAATTGAGAAGTCAATACAGGAAATTAACCCGGATCATTTGCACATTTGCATATCAGTATTTCCCATGAGTACACTTTAATATTCAAGGTACCAATTTAATGAAATTCCTCAATGTATACTACCCCCAAACAAAATTCTCTTTTTTTGTGAACGGTCACGTTACTTTGATATTTACAACATTCCGTAATGGTCATTTTATCGGACACGCATTTTCGGGAAAAAATTGCAATTATACCTACATTTTACTGATACAAACAACAGTGGTACTTTATCTCTCTCTCTTTCCTGGGGAAATTTGGTAAGATGGTGAAAGGGAAACAATCCTTAGCAGGGCCGCCCAGACAATTTCAGGGGCCTGGAACAAAGTAAATTTTGGGAATAGAAAAAATTTCAAAGAAAATGTTATTTTAGAAATTTACTGGCATATGTTATGTTCTACAATCTACAATTGGTTATAAACACATAATTATGTATATGTACATTGTACATACACATTCAAGTACATATTGATTCTCAAAAAAATTTTTTTTTAATGCGCTTTATCTGCACAAGAGTTGTGCACAATTTCTACTTGTTTATTATGCTGACAAGTGATTTACCGCATTATTTTACCGGGAACAGCCACATGTCATTTTCTATTCTTCGCAAAAAATCATCGGCCGTACAAATGAAAATGTGGCAACGGCAACTCTATTGCTGTTTCATTCATCCTCACAGATCCACGGCCGGCACGGGGGCCCTTTGAAATCGGGGGCCTGGGGCAAATCGCCCTAGTTGCCCCCCCCCCTGGGCGGCCCTGATCCTTAGGGGTCTTTACACCTGGGCATTTAGGAGGAAGTACGAAGGAATTATGTGAAAAATAGAGGAAAATGTGGAAAATAAAAATCTTAGCAAATTGATCAAATTCTGAGGAAATAAGGAAGAAAAATGAAAAAGTAAAAGGCAAAAATTGTATGAATGCTATTACTACGTATAAACATTGGGGTATAATATGTCAATTCAAGAAACTGGGAAATTAAAAGAAATTCTAGAGAAAATATATAAACACTAGTGGGATTTGTGGTCGAGAAGCCACTAGACGTTTATGTACCTATACAGATTTTGGGGATGAAGCAACTGTGGTGTAATACGATGAGAAAATAATAGTATATTCTGAATAACTCTGTAGGAAGTTTTCCGAAATGGAAGTTGGAAAATCTACGTGAATGTGTGAAACTGAATAAATTTGATAAAATGTTTGATGAGATACAAACATTTTTTTGAAGCATGGGAAAATATTGTGGGAGAAACGAATTTTCGGGAAATTGGAGGAAATAAGAAAAAAAACGCTTTTTGAATTGATTACTCTGTTTAGAATCAATTATCCGAGACAATTACTTTCGATTGGGATAATAAGAGTCCCATTAAAAGATTTTACTAAATATCACAATATCGTTCAAAATTTTTTTTTGGATTCAAACCGATCAGCCCTAAGACACGTAAGTGCACCTGAGATGTTCGTTAGTGTAC